TATGCAGGATTGATTGAAAAAAAAAAAAAATTAAAACCAAAATATTCATCTTCTAACCTCTAAAAAATTGAAATCAAACAAACAAAAAAATCATAAATTAAGTCATACCTTAGTTGGAGGATTCAAAACTTCAAAATCACCATCCATCAATAGAAAACTTATTTTTCTCTATGAGAGATATTAGGGTTAGGGTTTTAGCCGGAATGAATGTAAGGTAAACAAAGAATAATCGTAGGGTTTAATTATAGTGTTTGGGTTTATTAATAAATTTGAGTTTTATTATTAATTTCATTTTGTACTTAATAGTAATTATGCAATAGAGTAAAATAGACAATTAACATTTAAAACTTTAAATTGGTGCAAAAAGAGTTTAAATAAAATTTCCCAAACAAAAAGTTTGACGTCAGATGAACCTGGAGAGAAAAATATATTTGTGAAAATATGCCGGGAAAATGGGGACGACGGAAGCGGCGGGAGGAGGATGTTGTTGTTGTCAGACGTTGGATGCAATGGCGTAGCCATAAATTATTCGGTGGGTGGGCTAAGCTAAAATTATCAAGTTTTTAATCCTATGTTGCCTACATAAAGTTATATAATAGTAAAAACTTGAATGTGGTAATTTGAAGCAAGAATTTTATGCTATGTTTTCTAGGTTTCTAGCCTTCAAAGCTTTTAAGTGAATAAAATAAGGAACCATTTGTGATATGGAAGTTTTAATTTATTACTATTAAATATAATATTGGTTAAAGTGATGAGTTTATTTAACATCTATTAGCTCTTATTATTCTTAAAAATAGGCTTACTAATAAAAAATTTCATTTCTTATGTGAAATATGATAATTAAAAATCATAAACTAACCTAAAAATTAATATTTTTAAGCTTGAAGAACCATACTCTCCGTATGCTATAGTCTAGGGGAGCCTTGTACTTGGCTCCGTCCTTGGATGGATGCCATCAGAGCCAATGCAGTTGGTGCAACTCATCATTCCGATCGAGTCATCTCGCCACGCCATGTCCTACGTCGGCGATCTTGGCCTCTTTCAATTCAAAGACGTAATCGTTGCTCTCGCATTTCCTCTTGCTCTTTTAAAATTTTTATTTTCAACTTTCTGCACATTTTTTGGAATTTTTGTTTTTGTTTTTGCTGCTCATGCGGAAAATAGCCCGTTCCAGCGAACATACGCCACTCAGGTGCGTTGATTTTATATAATTTTAATTTTTTTTACCAACGAATTAATTTAATTTCATACGATATGAGATAATGTGTTAACAGAAAGTAATTGCATGTGGAGTTTGGAAATCGGCCATTAACTGCCGTGGTTTTGTAAGTAATTTTGCAAAAAATTTGGTTAATCTTAAAATCTTGTTTGTGGATTTGAAATTTATGTGTTTTTGGAACCAATCCTTAGTAAAAATGTAAATAAATTATGGAAAAACACTTAAAGTGCTTCCTGAAGAAGCACATAACTAGTGCTTCTTGTAGAAAACACTTTAAATACCTTTTGAAACCAAAAAATATTTTCTCTAAAAATGTTTTTAGTTATTTTAAAAGAACATCCAAACGAGATCTTATTTGTTTAAGATGAAATTCTTTTGGGTAAAGTACAAAAAACTACCTCAACTATTGGGGTCACGATAGTTTCATACCTCATCTTTTAAAATTGACAATGTCATACCGCATCTTACGAATTTGTGACAATGTCATACCTTTGTCAATTTTTCTGTTAGTTTTTCTGTTAAATGCTGACGTGGCAAGAGATGGGAACCACTTTATATTAAAAAATTAATAAAAAATTATTAAAAACTAAAAAAAATATTTAATATTTTTTAAATATTAAAATAATAAATAAAAGTAAAATTAAAAAAAAAAGGTAAAGTACAAAAAACTACCTCAACTATTGGGGTCACGACAGTTTCATACCTTATCTTTTAAAATTGACAATGTCATACCGCATCTTACGAATTTGTGACAATGTCATACCTCCGTCAATTTTTCTGTTAAGTGCTGACGTGGCTTGATTCGAGACCTACTTTCTATTAAAAAATTATTAAAAACTAAAAAACAATTATTTAATATTTTTTAAATATTAAAATAATAATAAAAAGCAGAAGAGAAAAAAAAAAAAAAAACCCCTCATTTCGTTCCTCCCCTCCCCCCTCCTCCCTCCTCTCTTCTCCCCATCTTCATCTTCTTCCCCCACCTGCAAATCCCAACAAAAAAAAAAAAAAAAAAAAGATCCAATTTGTCTTCCCCCCACACCCACACTCAATTTCCCCACACCCAGTCTTCTCCCTCCTGCAACCCAGAAAAAAAAAAAAAAAAAATCCCAGATCCCGTCGGCGGGAAGATGGGTGAGCAGAGAAGGTGGAGGATGGGTACGAAAGAGGATGTGGAAAATGGATGAAAGTGGTGGATTTGGGGTTTGATAGGTTTTCAAAATTTTTTTTTCCCTTCTTTTTTTCCTCTTCTTCTTCTTCTTCTTTTTCTTCTTCTTCTTCTTCCGCAGGGGAGTTGATGGTTTAAAACAAAAAAATAAAAAAATAAAAAATTTCCTTCCTCTTTTTTTTTCTCTCCTTCTTCTTCTTCCGTAGGGGGGTGTTGATGGGTTTTCAAATTTTTTTTTATTTTTTCCTCCTTTTCTTCCTCTTCTTCTTCTTCCTCTTTCTCATTCTCCCTTCTTCTTCTTCCACGCCGACAGGGGGAATTTTTTTTTTTTTCCTTCCTCCTTTTTTTCCTCTTCTTCTTCTTCTTCCTCCTCCTCCTCCTCCTCCTTCTTCTTGTTCTTCCACAAGGGGTTGTTGGGTTTTCAAAATTTTTTTATTTTTTTTATTTTTTTGGGTTTGCAGGTGGGGGGAAGAAAATGAAGATGGGGAGAAGAGAGAGGAGGGGGAGGGGGAGGGGAGGGATGAACTGATGGTTTTTTTTTTCTTTGCTGCTTATTATTATTTTAATATTTAAAAAATATTAAATAATTGTTTTTTAGTTTTTAATAATTTTTTAATAGAAAGTATGTACCGAATTAAGCCACGTCAGTACTTAACAGAAAAAATAAATAGAAAATTTGACGGAGGTATGACGTTGTCACAAATTCGTAAGATGCGGTATGACATTGTCAATTTCAAAAGATGAGGTATGAAACTGTCGTGATCCCAATAGTTGAGGTAGTTTTTTGTACTTTACCCTTTTTTTTTTAATTTTACTTTTATTTATTATTTTAATATTAAAAAATATTAAATATTTTTTTTAGTTTTTAATAATATTTTATTAATTTTTTAATAGAAAGTGGTCCCGTCTCTTGCCACGTCAGCATTTAACAGAAAAACTAACAGAAAAATTGACGGAGGTAGGACATTTTCACAAATTCGTAAGATGCGGTATGACATTGTCAATTTTAAAAGATGAGGTATGAAACTGTCGTGACCCTAATAGTTGAGGTAGTTTTTTGTACTTTACCCAATTCTTTTATTGTTTCCTTTGACTGGTGCTTAGGGATTTTCTGTTGTGGGAAACGACAACAGACCCATCAAAGCATGTTAAGCTCGGGTCAGTTAGTGCAAGGACGTAGCCCAATGAACCACTTGGGCCATTGCCTTCGTTGTCGAGGCCCATTATGTAACCTCCATATTTAGCTGATTAGTCATGAAATTCGGGTCATGTAATATAACACAGGGCGTCTTGAACTTCTTCTGAACCTGACGGTCCACGTAAATCATGTTTGCTGGATTCAATTTCCCTTTTTCCCTTCCTTTTCGAGAGGAATTTAAGATTAACATGCTTGCTTACTTAATTGAGAAATTTATAAATAAATAAAAAATGTAAGAAAGAATGGGCATTGAGACCATGTTCAAATCTTCTGCACTACTTATCTCCTTAATAAAAAAACCACATTAAGGATAAATTAAGTCAAAAAAATGTGTGTCAGTTAAATAAATAAATCACAAATAAACCATAAAGGATTTTCGACGCAGAAAATTTGAACTTAGACCGAGTAGCCCTAGTTGATTTGATTTTTAATGTTTTAGGTATTGAAATAATGGGAAAGAGAAAAAAGAAAGCGTGTAAGATTAACTAGCTGCCGTATTTGATCCGATCTTAATTTTTTAGGTATTGAAGCTTAAATAAATGCGAAATAACACTATTAACAACCCTGTCATTTTCAAGAAAGAAGTAAAAAGTAAAATTGAACTTAAATCATAAGAAAAGCCCCAGAAGCCCTTTTTGGGAGTTGACACCCAACAAAATTGAAACATACTGGATTTGCTGTACTTCTTTTTTCAGTTCACAACTTTCTTTTTCTCCATCATAGCTTTTGGTAACAAATTTGGTCACTTCACCAAATTTGTTTGCCGTCCACGCAACAATGTGTCAACACTTAAAATTTAGTGCACAAATTTAATGTTATGCTAAGACACTACATAATATCATACCTCGACCAAAAGTAAAACGCATCAATACAAATAAATTTAACATTTATTAGAAAACGGTACAGTGTGGTCTTCTATAAGTTTCTTTAAACATGTGAATATTGCAAAATCTTTCAAATTATAAAAAAAAAAAAAAAAAACCTATATTTTTTTATTGTATATAAAAGAAAGGACACTTCTTAGTGCTGAAAAAATTCTTAGTTTGCTGAGAACACGATAGATGCATTAAATGTCATAATACAAATAGTTGAATACTAATTCAACAAATTGTATTATAACACTTGTGTATCGGACCATTTTTTCCGTCACATGAATAAATCTCTCCTTAGCGTTGGAGGAGGAGGGACTCTTGAGTCAACGGTCAACTAAGGGCATAGAAGTCCGTGACAACATGCAAGTCTATTAAACCGGAAAATGATCATTTTTTAGGAATCGCGTGATCTCGTCCATTTATCGTATATCGTATGATCAATTTTCGTTAAATACTTTTCATATTTAATTTTAAATTTTCAAATAAAATATTAACCGCACAATTTGCAATGAATCATATTCTTTTCCTTAGTTGCCAGCAAGCCGTAAGCACTGAGATACTCTCTCTCACCTGCACGACAAGCGAGAGAGAGAGAGAGAGAGAGAGAGAGAGAGAAACGGCTGAGTGGGTTGGCACGTGCCCTAATGCCCCACCCAACTAAACCCCTAAAACCCCGCCTCTTTAAAATCTCAGTCACCTGAGACCCCGGCGCCGTGCCCCACCGCTCAATTCGCCGCCGTCCACGTTTCACAAAACCTCTGTAAAATCCTTTCCTTGTATGTTTTGTGTTTCCCTCAAAAACCCCTCCAGCCGCCACGAAGGCCTTCTTCCCTCCGCCTATTTTCGTAATTTCCCCTTTCTTCAAGCTTTTTCCATGCTTCCGGAACAAGCACGCTCTATAGAGAGAGAGAGAGAGAGAGAGAGAGGAGAGAGAGAGAGAGAGAGTCAGGCTGGCGGAGACCATGGGTGCTCTCGCTCCGTTCTCTCAGTGGATTCCCGCGGATGATATTCTGCTCAAGAAAGCTGTTGAGGTACAAATTCGGCTCTAAATTTCCTCCGTTTTTTCGGAAAATCTGATGTTCATGCATCCTCGTAGTGTATTATTAACCTGGATTTTTCTGGTAACTTGTTTTCGTTATACATATGATGTTTGTTTCTTTTTTGGGTTTTCAAATTATCGGGGTTTTAGTGTAGTTATGAATTCGAATTGTTTGAACAATGGATTTCGGGTTTATGTTTCTTGAATATGTTATGGGTTTAGCTATCCTCGTATTTAAGATTGAAATTATTGAAACAGATCGATAAATTGGACAAATGCTAGATACAATTGAAGGTGAATACAGTTGAAATTATGTTGTTGTGTGCTAGTACAATTGTCACTGCTGGTTTTCCTGCTGAGGTAGGCTGTATCTTTGTCGAATTAACAAGTATTCGCCTCTATTAAGTGTGTTGCGTCGGAGGGGAACTACCCGGGAACTACCGGGTTCCCCTTTTGGAAATAAATTAGGATTTGGTAATTTTCAGAATGCCAGTTTTGATTTTGTAATTATATTTATCATACAAGGAAAGTTTATCAGGAATTAGTATTCTCGAAAGTTATATTTGGACTTGGTACTCTTTTGCTCTGTTTGCAGGATGGTGCTTCCTTGGAGTCACTTGCTAAAGGTGCAGTGCATTTTTCTCGAAGATTTACTGTTCGTGAACTGCAAGATCGGTGGTATTCTCTCCTGTATGATCCAGTAGTTTCTGAAGATGCTTCTGCTCGCATGATTGAGTTTGAGAGTTCCACAACAACTGTTCCATTTGACAGGACAGGAAATTCAAAAGGAAAAAAATGTGAGTCTGGGAAGAGAAAAGCTGAAAGTGTTTGTAGTAGTTACTATGCAATGCGTAAAAGGATTTGCAATGAGCCGTTTAATTCCATGGGCCTTAATTTTCTTGTTGCACCCAGGTAATAACAACTATGATGGAAATGGAGATGAGCCTCTTTACGGAAATTGCATGAATGGAGATCCAACCGTCAGCCTCTTTTGGCCTTGAGACGTCAGATATGGATGCAATGCAAAATCTGATGGATGTTGGCACTGATGATACTTTTCATATGCTCCAGAACCCGGATGGGAATGATTTTCATATGGAACAAGGTAATATTCATGAAGATATTATGACATGGAATGAATCTAAGGTGGATGAATTCAATCATCCGGAAGGATTGCCAGATTGCAGCCTGTTCAATGCCGATGACATAGGAATGAAACCTCTGTTTACACTAGATCAAATTAATGGCAACGAGGGAAACATGTGCACAGAGTTTGAAGGGAACAAGGCCTTTAATTCACCTGTTTCAAACACTGGTGCATTGTTTAACAACTTGGAGTATTCATCTCCACTTCCAGCTATGCCAGTTGATGTTGATCTTAGAGAACATGATATATGCACCAGTGATTCTTTTGAACTTCATGAAAACATCGATGCTAACAAGGCAAGAACAACAGAGGATGATGCTCATATTGGGATGGAGGTGGCCACTGAAATGCCATGCTGTGATTTCCAGAGTTCTGCAGCTCCTGTTTGTAATGAAGGTTATTTGGCAGAATTGTCCAATTCGCTTTTAAACTTTACGAATGAGGAGCTCATGCTCGTGACTGCTGATGGAAAAGATGTGATTGATAAATCTTACTATGATGGCCTGAGCTCTCTTTTGTTGAGTTCACCGAAAGACTGATGTTCTTTGTGAACCGACAACCGTCAAAACTGAGCCAGAAACATCTGTAGCTCCAGTTATGGACTCCATGAACCCATCTAGTACGTATCCTGGAGTGGTAGATGACAATAGAGGATCCCAAATGCTGATGAACATATAGTCTGCCATTCAGACACTCCAATGCTATCATCTTCAACAGCTTCGAACTATCAAAATCCTGAATTGAGGGATGGATTTATCTGCTGCACATTAAACACCGAGGACCCAGAAATCCCATGCAATGGTGATATTTTTCTACCAAATCGTTCATCAACTTCTGAAGGGAATAAGCCAATATCTTTGTGCACTAGTGGTTTCCCTGTTAATAAGAGAAATAATCACACAGGGCCGTGCTTTATGCATAAAGAGCGAAAAAATCTTGGAGAACCTCATAGTACCTCTCAGATTAAAGGATCACATTTCTTACAAGAAAAGGGTCGAAAATCTCCACTAGGTAATTTCGGAGTGAAATTTGAGCTGTCTGATGTCCCCAGTGATGTGGCATCTAAGAATGCAGGTCATGTTGGTGAAGGTCTGGGCCAAATTGATTCAGCCAATCCAAGTACAAGTGTTCAACCTGGAATCCTGAAGGAAGGCACTAGAGAGAGTATGTCGGAAAAGCATCTCAGTTATAACTCAACTGAGTTTCATGTGGAGAACCCAGATTCTGGTGTCATTAAAAGGAGCTTGATCCATCAGCTACAATTAGGGACGATATATCATTACATACGGAAGGGATGCCCATGTATATTGCTGAACCACAATTAAATCCCGATACATCGGATCAGCTGGGGCTTTTGAGAGCGATGATGATATACCATGCTATTCGGATATAGAGGCAATGGTTAGTGTGCTAAAACGAAAATCACTGTGTTGATAGATTTGCTTTGCTTATCAATTTCTTAATTGATCTTATAGTTTCATTGACTTTTGTTCCACCTGCAGGTACTTGATATGGATTTGGACCCAGATGACCAGGATTTGTGTTCTAGTGAGGAAGGTAATACTCAATCAAACTATTATGCATCTAATGACCAGCTCATTACTTATTTTCTTTATACAGACTTATCCGTACTTCACTTCTGCCAATCAAATCCTCTAAAATGGTATGCATTAACGTAATCTTGTCGGTACTTTCCTTCTTCTGCCTATCAAATCCTGTGATAAATAGTGTGCATTTATGTAATGAGTGTGTTTATTATGCGGCATTCATGCTTAACTGACAGATGATACAGCATTCATACTAAATGATATGTTTTGAAATAGAACATTAGAACATTCCTAATCACGGAACTAATATTTTCTGTAAAGCGATTGCATCATATGTGATGTAGGTTCACTGCATCAATATGCCTTATAAATTGTAATTTTATGCTGTTCGCTATGTGCAGTCTCAAAATATCAGGATGAGGACGCTAAGAGGAGAATCATAAGGCTGGAGCAGTGTGCTTATTCATATTTGCAAAGAGCCATTGCATCTCATGGAGCTTTTGCCATTTTGTATGGACGTCATTCTAAGCATTACATTAAGAAGTCCTGAGGTATTTCGATTGCCATATGGACCCTTCTTTTGTCTTTTCCTGCTACCTGGGGTTGGTAGGTTTTCACCCTATAGCTGCATTTGGAAGTGATGTAATTATGGAGCAAGAGTTATGTGTATAACTTAATCACTGTCATAAGGAATATTTAGGATCTATCTAGGTTTTGCTATGATGTGCAGATTTAGTCGAAAAGAAGAATTGAAAACTGATGGTCCAATAAGTCTATGTCAGACATGGATTGATTATGTGAATGAATAGCTATCTATATCTGCAGGTTCTATTGGGTAGAGCAACAGACGATTCTGTTGTTGACATTGACTTGGGAAGAGACGGTCGTGGTAATAAGATCTCTCGGAAACAGGTAATATTATTGTTGACCACCTTAACATATTCACCATACCGGTGATGCAATTACTTGCATTTTTCTTTCCTTCCAAAAGTTTGGAAATAAAGATTATACATACATGCCGGATAAGGTGTGGGGACAGTTTGTTCTAAGTAGTGTTCTCAATGATGTGGTAGAAAGAAATCCTCAAGACATTTAGGATTTAGCTCATTAAATAGCTGATAGCAATGACAGGGCTGAACTTAGGTGTCTTCTGATTATGCTGTTTATGTCTTCTTGCTAACCCCAAAAATTTATTAATTTTAATGTGTTTGTTAGGCAATGATAAATATGGATAAAGATGGATCCTTCCATCTGAAAAATCTTGGGAAGTGTTCAATCTCGGTAAATAGCAAGGAAGTAGCCCCTAGACAGAGTCTAAGCCTCAGTTCAAGTTGCTTGATTGAGGTATGTTCTTACAATTTCGTTTGCTAAAACTTCATTTTTCTTTGAATTTCTTGGCTGTTTATTGTGCAATGTCTCTGTGAGGCTGTGCATAAGTCTTGATTGTCATACCTCAGAAGTCGTTTTTATACTCGTCAAATTTTTGGGTTGGTGATCAAAATGCTCTATACATTGTGTACGTTATCTTAAGTCATTGATAGACCATGGTGTTTCAAATAGATTGGGGTTTTCGTGCTGTAATAATCTCAAGCCAAACACTAGAATTACACTCTGGTTCACGTAACACATGTTTCGGGTAGCTTGATCGCATCATATTTAACTAAACGATATTCTGTAAATGATGAATCTTGCGCAGATACGGGGAATGCCATTCATATTTGAGATGAACCAAACACGCGTGAAGCAGTATTTGGAAAGCATCCCCCAATAACTGAAGGCAAAGAGCACCGATTGTGAATGATAGCGGTGGTGCCAAGAACGGTACAGTATTCAGAAGGTGCTAATTTTTCCTGCAGCTTCTGGGGTTCACTAGTTGAAGCCACTTCTCTTCTGTTGTATACAATTGTCGTTGAAGAAGGTGGTCTGTAATTTGACAACATATTTACTTTCTGCTTATTGTTTTTCTATTCGAACTCATAAATCAATAGGACCACAGTTTGTTTTTCTTTGATTTAAGGATATACTAATCTAATTTAAACGGAGGATTCAAATTTAAAATCTCAATTATTGAAGAACAGAAAGAAAAAAAAAAATTTGGGTCTTTCAAAAAGGCGCGACAAAGCTTTTCAACCTCGTTTTCCAAACCGGAAGCTTTTAAAGAGAAAGAGCCTATCCATCATGGCAAATCTCGAATCCTGTTTTCATTTTTTTTTTAATAGAATTACACTACTTGATGATTCCTGTAGCTGAATTCTAAAAATAAAAACAATTTTAATGTAAAACAAATTTTTCCGTTGCCAGGAGTTGAACTTGGGATAACAAATTTAGTTTTTATATGAGGAGTAAAAATATACTTATATTTATGCTATCTATTAATAAAAAAATTATTATCAACAAAAAAAATAATGAAAATACTGTCATATTATTTTGGAAACTTTAACGAAAAGCTCCCGGTACTGTTCACTTTAACAAAAAATCACATTTTTACATTAAAAAGTCAATCCTGGTACTATTCACTTTACCCTTTTATTTTGTCCTTATCGTTAAAATTCAAAAATTTCAAGTCATTTTCATTTGTTTTTCTTATTATTTTATGCAAAGAAAATATTTAAAAAAAATTATAGGCATTAAAGTAATTTCGCCAATAAATATTGCTTTTTTCATCTATCCACATGTAACAATAGTTTTACTTGTCCTCTTTCTTTTTGTCACTCTATACTTTTACTCTTTTTTTTTTTTTTAATTTTAATTAATTAAAACTCCATTTTAATTCTTTTTTTAATTATTTAAATTTCTATATATTTGGGACAAAAAAACAGGCTAACCCTTGTCCCCACGGGAGAAATCCCTTCATTGAGGGAAAACCTTAGCCAAAGCTATTCGAGTCCTTTGCTTATATTATCAATGACCATCATCAATTAAGGTATCGTCACTACCATTAGAGCTTCACTATAAGAAATTTTAAATTTTTGTTAAACTGGCAAGTGAATTGGTGTATATGTGCATCGTAGTAAATACTATTTGTTTATTGTTTTTTATTTCTACATCTGTTTCTTCTTCATTTTCCTCCCTTATTTCGTTTTTGAGTTTTTTTTCTTCTTTTCTCAGTTTTAGTAACAACGAGTGACGGTGTCCTGTCAAAATAGTAATCACAAATAATGAAGACAATAATATTAAAGATTCAAGCCATATAAGAAAATTATCCTCACACAGTGCACAGCGCATATGTCCAGCTTATGCTGCAACATACCTGTAATAAATATGTAAACTTCCTGATATTTATATTGACATGTATACATATATAATATATAGACATAAATATAATGCATGCGGAATTATACATTTCCAGCCTGAGCACATCCTGTTCTTCAAAATAATGAAACGTATTGGAATCAAACCCTAATACAAAATATTCACAAGACCTATCTTTTGATCCTTCTTTGTCCCTTCAAGACTATTTAATTCTGGTATAATTTGTTTTTTTTCTGATCTGAGTTATAACTGCCTTTAAATGATCACATTCACATAACCGATGAGGGTTTGAGCACAAACGTGAATAAACCCTAATCAGAGGTTAATGCGTGCAAATGATATCACAAAGCATGCAATAAGTTTCGTGGCACCAGTTATTTATTTGACAAGTGCTACAGTTTTAATTCTATGAGAAGAGTTTGGCTCTTTAAAGTTGAGGAGGAGTTACTCCTCAAAATACTTTGTGATCTATACAAAATTTCATGCTTATAGTCAGACCGTTCATATTATACATCACTATGTGAAGATCATTTATGTAAAAAATCAACTAAAACTAAGATGATTTAGTCATTCAATTGTAGCAAATACTATAGATAGACAGTTCATAATGCTTTTATCAAATCTGTCAATCTGTTTTTAACTTTTTTATATAGTTCAATGACTCAAAAATCTTAATTTTAATCCATTTTTTGTAAAGATAATATTTACATAATAATTTATAATATAAACGATTTCGTTGATAAGCACAAAATTTTATAGATAGATCACTACGTATTTTAAGCAGAAGTGAAGTCTCCCTCTAATTATATTATCTTTCAATTGCATCTTAATTGGCCGACATGAAAATTATAAACAAACAAAGGACATTACTGCACAATGATCACTGTGAAATCCAGATAATGGATAATGATTCTCTGTAGAAAAATGCTAAGGACTCCCTCAAAAGTATAGCCCCATCTCTCTTAATAAGTTGGTTTTTACTTGCTAGGATTTTAGACTAGAGTTGAAATAGCGAAATATATTTATTCCTACGTTCGATGTTTTATGTTTAAATCTCTACTCCACCACTAGCTAGTGTGCGTTAATATGTAGCTAGGTCTTTGTCAAGGGGTTCCAGTCTACTTGATTAGATAGATATTTTCAGATAATCTATTATATAGCAGACACTATATACTTCAATTATCAAACTAATAATCGTAGAATAATTATCCGGACCAGTCAAGCACGATAAAGCTTCATATTCTTCCAGAAAAAACATAAAGAATATCGTTCCTTGTCCCAAATAGGTATGATGCTGCTGGGCGACCGATTCCCTCTCGTCATCAGTACCATATCTTGCCATCAAAACTTTAACGAGCTGAATTTCATATAAATTTTGCCAAAAGAATATGTACTTTTGCTACTAAGTTATTCATTAAGTAGTAATTAATCAATAATCATGTTCATATTTTTATAGGCAAATTGTCACCTATAAGGCTATAATGTGTGGGATGTGAATTGTTGTTTTCCTGTCGAAAAACTATGAAATTTTGCATGTGTGTATTAGGGCTAATCTATGGTTAGGGTAAGTTGGGTCATTCCCTTGACTTATTACCAAGTTTTAGAGTTAAAGTTTTAACTTTCTTCGTGATGTTAGAATATCAAAGGGTAAACTGGGTTCTCGGGTATCTGCCCATGCTGCCATTAGAAGAAAATATTGTATAAAATTAAAGATCAAATGTTCCTATAAAGAAAACCTCCAAGGAAAAGGATGCATAGAATTGTATCCAAATGAAAAAGCAAAATTAACCAAATTGTAGTTATTGGGGCTGGCACAGTATTAGGACGAGTTCGGTGCTTGATAAAAGTTAGGTCAAGGTTCGTCGGCGGTGCAGAAATAGCTTTCAGCAGTCGTACTAGCCCCCAGAAAAGGGAGATAGCAACATGCATGGGGAGGTCTTCGTTACGTACATATACACAAAATACAACCGTCGAGACAGCCGAGACTCAAGGCAGAGTCTGGCCTACTTTTCCATGCCTACCATAAAGACGTCCATGATTTCACAGATACAAAGTTGTAGCCACCCCATCCCCCAATTTTAAAGAGCAAAGCGGTCCCATGATCCTTAATTCCCGATAAAAAAAATAATAGAGGATTCGAGATTCGCTCATTGCTCGAAACTTCAACAATAATCTAGATCTGGTGGCAATATAAAATATGTTTTGTATAATACTCCACTTACCAGAACCCTAATAGGCTAATATTCTATTGTATTTCATTTAAATATATATGTAATCCGACCCTCCTCTTTTTAACAATAATAAATCTTTTGGAGTGGATGTTTGCAATGTTTTATTTTTATTTACTTACCGCTATAGTTTGGTAGTTATTCATTTTCACTTATAAGTGTAAGTGAGAAGTTTTAAATTTGATTTTCTTCAAAAGATGAATTCGAACTAAATTATTATGTTTGGTCCATTGTGAATTTTAGCTTATTCATCAATCCTTTAATATATATAATATCGTATGTATTAAAAAAATATAATCAATTTACTAAAAAGTTGTTAGCTTTCATAATGGAATGGACCTCTATTGTTTAGTGCTTCACAATAAAATAATATTGTAGCATGACAATAAGTGCTCATTTTGAACTGTTTTTAAAATAGCTGAAAGTGTTTTTAGTTAATAGGAACTTCAGTGATGATTTTAGTGATCTTATACAACTAGATATTAGTATTTATACACCCAACACAATCTTATTGAAGAGTGCTAGAGTCAGTAGTTAATATTCATGTCTGAACTTATTCTGTCCATATATATTCCATGCATGCCAACCTCAAAGGAAAAGCACATTCAATTTGGTCACTTTCGCAATCAATTATGTAAGGGTATGAACTATATATATGAAAGATCCTTCTTCCTTTTCGAATAACCAAAAGACATAAGAAGAAGAAGACGTAAGATTACATGATATCTTCTCGATCTTGTGTTGTCACACCACCACAAAGTATCTATGTATGTATTTCATGTCAATATTCAGTCTTTGATGAATTGAAATGAATTTCCACATTTAATTTTTTAGTGTGTGGAGTAGCAGGGTAGTAGTACTTGAGCTAATAGCAAAATTGACGAAAAATTGAGTACATAAACGTTTTAAGATTCATATAACCGACTCAACTTAATGTGGTTTAATTGTTGTTGTTGGAGTGGCGGGAAAGTATTAGCTAGCAACGTTAGCAGGTTCGAGGTCTTGCTCAGATAAACAAAGCCCTCCTCCTAGATTTGGAGATCACATGATATCAGTTGCAATGCCAGCATGGGTATAATAAGGTGGTCCCATATAACTACTAAAATCAAAAGACTAAATAAAAACTAAAAAATGATTACTCAACTTGAAATTCACGATGAACCAATTATTTATTGATTGATTAAGAGCAATTCGAGAAAGAAGTAAAAGTGTTGGGAGAAAAAAAATTTGAGTACAACAATATGATGACGTGATTCATTCAGCGATTTACACAAAAATTTGAAACTTTATAGTTTTAGTCGTACTTAATCGTATAAAGATGGGCTCGTGTATGTAAAAAAAAACTGATACAAAACAGAAATGTCAATTTAATAGTGACGCATAGTATCACAAGTTACTACGTATTTTAATTTTCTCGTATTAGTTTTGAAAAATTATCGCATTAGTCACATTAGCATTGGTCTTTGCCCTAACCCTAACCCTACCGGCTACCCCCGACTTCCTCACTTCCTCGCACATGCATGCTTCCCCAAAAGACGAACCAATTACCAAAGCCGGAAATGAAAAACAATTAAACCGGAACCTAAAAGTAGTAAACAAACGAACCCCAAATTATATGGAGCTTTTATCCCACTCCCACTACATGGCTAAATTGGGTAACTGCAATTTGTTAAATATTCACTGACCAAAACCATTCAATAAAGCAACCACCTCCCAACCCTTCTAACCTCTCAGCATCTTCCTTTTACTAGCTCACTCCACCATTCTCGCTCTGTTAAAGTTAGAGAGAGAAAGGGAGAGGCGAGAGAGAGATGACCATAAATAGTTCCCCAAGATTCCCCAGTATCCCTGTCGATATTTTATTACTCGCCCGTACTTTTTACCGTCCTCATATTTGTTCTCTTTAAGTATCCTCTGTTTTCTTCAAAGAACCTCCACTCCCACTGCCTCCTTTTCCTCTGTACCTATTTCCCTTAGATTTAGCTTCTCTTTCTGTTTTGGAAGTTCAAAACTGATGAAGATCCAGTGTGATGTGTGTAACAAGGACGACGCCTCGGTGTTCTGCACTGCCGACGAGGCCGCCCTCTGCGACGCTTGCGACCACCGTGTCCACCACGCCAATAAGCTCGCTTCCAAGCACCACCGTTTCTCTCTCGTCCACCCCTCGTCTAAGGAGTTCCCCCTCTGCGATATCTGTCAGGTATATATTAACTTACTGACTTGTCAGCGCTCGATTGCTACTGTATATATCCTCCCTCTACGGCTCTACCCTCTAAACAATGGTCTTTCGATTTTCTGATTTGGGTTTCTTAATCTTCATCTACAGGAGAGAAGAGCCTTCTTGTTTTGCCAGCAGGACAGAGCGATTCTGTGCAGAGAGTGCGACCTTCCAATTCACAACGCCAACGAGCACACCCTGAAGCACAACCGATATCTTCTTACGGGTATTAAGCTCTCCGCCACCTCCGCCCTCTACAAATCTTCGCCGCCGCGGCCAACTGTAGCAACTGCTAGTTCTGAAACCGCCGCTACCGATCTCAAAAAGCATCAACCTTCAACCAAGAAATCTGTTTCCGCCGCCTCTCCTGCAATTTCAAATCCAAACCCACCTCCTATTTCTGTCAAGAATTCAACTTCAACCGCTGCAGTCGACAAACGCGGTGGAAATTTGGTGGGTGCGACTAGTACCATATCCGAGTACTTGATAGAGACGCTTCCGGGCTGGCACGTTGAGGACTTTCTTGATTTTTCTAATGCCCCGTTTGGTTTCTCTAAGGTTTGCATTGATTTATCTCGTTCTTCCCTATTTTTTCTTGAAATTTCCAAATTCGGGTCGGAATATGATTTTTGCACACTTCTGTTTGTTTCAAGTCTCTTGATTCTCGTTTGATTTATTTCACACCAACAACGATATGAGAGAATGAGTTTGCAGAAAGCACTTCTCCTTTGAGTTTTGTTAATCTGTCATCAATTAGTTATTTAGCCTGGTGGATCTGACATTTTGCAGTTTGTTTTATTGGTTATGGCAGGCCGACAATGATATGATGCTGTCGTTTTCGGAAGCCTATCCGGAAAGCAATCTGAACTCTTTCTCGTCGGAAAATATGGGGATGTGGGTCCGACAGGCATCACAAGCTCCTCCGTATCAATATTCACAGATGGGCGGTGGGTTCGTTGGCTTCGAAGAGACAAAGGAGGGTACAAACATGAAAGCCAGCAACAGAATGTGGATGGATGACGGCTTCACAGTTCCTCAGATTAGTCCTCCATCTGTTGGCTCCAAGAGGTTCAGACCTTTCTGACAGAACATTTAGAGCGGGGAAGCGATTTACGCACACATTTTCTCGTTCTACACTTTATGTTTATTTTTGTCGTTTAAGTCTAAAGGTGTGCAGACGAAAGAAAAATGTCGTGCGGAAATCACTCATTTAACATGAACCGATACTTAGATCATTTTGAAGTTAATTTTAACGCAGGGATTTCGTTTGTTTATTTTCTTTGGTGGGTTTAGTTCGATCTCTTCGTCCCACCTTTTGTATGAAGGGAGCTTTGAAAACCTCGACAAACCCAGTTGGAGTGCTTCAGCTCCCTTCTCTCTCTCTCCCCTTTGTACTTATTGCGGAATGCAAACATCCATGTAAATATCAACTGCAGCGTGCTTTGTTCTTTATATTTGCTTTCAGTTTCCAAAATATGTATGGAATCGGGAAAAGTGAAAAGATTGGCCAATGCGACTACAAGAGTACTTTATAAAAAATTAATTTGAAACGTGTGATGATTATACCAGCATATAATGTTATTAATACGTGTGTTATATATAATTTGAATGAATAGCATAATTGATATGTCATCAATCTAGTTAGTGATATGTAAGATCACGCCAAATGAATTTATAAAATCATGCATGTTAAGTAGACCTAATTAAGACGTTGTAACATAATGCGCAATGACTTTAAAAACCCATGCATAGTAAGGAGACCTAACAAAGATGGTGTAACATCACATAAAATGAATTTATGTACCATGCATGGTAGAAAGACTTATGACATGAATCAACTTTGAACGACATGTCATGACAATTCAACCAAAAAATGTCCTCATTTCTTTCACCCAAGAGTATGTGACATGGGAATGGAAGGTAGAGAAATTTTAAGTAGATGGTTGTGATGATGAAGATGTTGACAGTCAGATATGCATGGAAAGATAAGTACAGAGAGGCAATTGACAAAGAAAAAGTACAGATTTGACCCAAAACAAAAAAAATACAGAAGGGCACAAATTGATGGTCATGTTTTGTCTTGAGGCACTAGTTTTTAGTCGTAGCAGCAAGTGCTACTGCAGCGTCCCTTTCATTTACAAAACTAGAAAATTGGTTTGGCTTCATCTTGGTGTAGGAATATGAACATGAGTATTTTGGTGAACTAGCATCAGCTATTTGGTCCGATTAATATAAGAAAGCCTTATAGGAAGATGAATGTAAGTTCTTGTTGATAGAGGAATCTGTCATGGAGAAGAACTGATATAAACTAGGAAACATGAGTTGTTTCCTAAGTGGATTGTAATAGGAAATCCTCATTGGATTAGGAGAGGTATATGTATATATATATGCTGTAATCTCTGCTCTCGGTAACACACGCTCAGAAAAGAACTAAGTCCTATTCTTAGTTAGAGCATTAAGAGTTCTACCAGAGAGGAGAAGAGTAGCAGCATACAGAATCTGGACATCTGCTGCAATGGCATTCTCCAATGGAGGTTCATCAGGTTAGTGTGAATATGATTGTTCATGTCTATACAGTTTTGTGTTTTCTTGATTGTGTTTATTGTGGCTTTAATCTGGATCTTGGCTATGTCAATCTAACATGTGGTATCAGAGCCTTAGATTTAAAGTTCTTAAAATCAATCAAGCACGGGTCAATGAAAATCACCATGATCAGGTTTCAAAACCAGTTTTAAATCTCAAAACAACTTTTCCTTAAAACGGTGCGTTTTAATAAAATTAGGTTAGTTTAAGATGACTGTTGGTATTCGAAATCGATGCGATTTTCCGTTTGGGATTTTCTGAGTTTTGTTCTTTTGTCAAAGAGGACTCTCACTCGTCCCTCTCATTCTGACCCATTTATTTGCAATCCGAGTAAATCAAATCTTGTTATTGAGTGTTCAATACCTGTACAAAATTGTTTCCGCTGCTATGTGTTGATGGTTGTCTCTTTAAAAGGTATGTAATCTTCAAAACTCGGATCAGAAATATGAATATCTGAGAATCTTGTATAAGAGATTTGTATAATAATTTTTGATGAACAAGAAAGTAGTCATTCTTAGCATATGATTTAGTTTCTTAAGATAATGCATCTTAATGATATGTATAATGAAAGAAGTCATTCGTAAGATGAATATATCTGGATAAACTGAGATGTATGGAACAAATCAGTGTGATGGTTGGTTCTGAATATATGGTGATCAGTTTATGATCTATTCTGAATTCAATAATCCTATATGCGCCTATCAACTGGTTGTTGTTAAGATTGTATATATGGATATTGGTTATAAAGCTTTGATGTGCAATAGACTGTGAAACGAAATCAGAACTTTGAAGTTCATATGGTGATTTCAGGTTCATCGATGTCTGCAATATCAATGAAGACCTTAAACTTAGCAAATATTCCGATCCTTACTGGTGGTGGTAATTACAAGAAGTGGAGGAGGGATATCAACTTGCTATTGACTCTCAATGAGTTTGATATAGCAATTGAAAATCCCAAGCCTGTTATGAGTGATCAAAGCACCAGAGCTGAGAAGTCAGATTTTGAGAGATGGTCAAGAGCTAATAAGGTAGCACTTTCCATCATAGAAGCTGGAATGACTGACACTATCAGAGGGGGAATTAAGAAACCAGAGCTTGCTGTGGAATATTTGGCTGCAATTGAAATGAAATTTAAGGAGTCCGAGAAGGCAGAAGTAAGCCAGTATATGTCTGTGTTGACTCAATACAAGATTGAAGGTACTGGTTCAATAAGGGACCATATAATGAAAATGTCAGATGCTGCCGAGAAGCTGAACTCTATGGACATAAACATTGGTGAAAAGCAGCTTGTATTCATGATCCTTCAAGCACTCCCTACCAAATATAATCAGTTAAAGGTCTCTTACAACACTCAGGACAAGAACTGGGGCATAGATGAATTGATTGCACAATGTGTGCAAGAGGAAACTCGGCAGAAGCAAGAGAAAGGCAAGGAGATCGAAGAAGCAAATTATGTGCAATCTGGTCGAGAGAAGAGAGCATTCAATAATGGCAGCTCTTCAGGTCCTGGTAAGAATTCTAAATTCACTAAGAATTCTAACAAATTCAATATGTCTGCTAAAGTAAATAACTCCCCTAGAAAATCTATCAACTTTAAACCTAGACCTAAAGATGTGTCTAAACTAAAATGTTTTTGGTGCAAGACTAAAGGGCATTTAAAAGTCAACTGTGAAATTTTCAAAGATTATGTGAGGAGTAAAGAAAAGGAACAAGTACTTGTCTGTATTGAATCAAACCTTTGTGAAGTACCTGTTGATTCTTGGTGGTTTGACATTGGATGCTCAGTACATATAACTAACTCTTTAAATGGTTTTCAAAAACAAAAGGAAGTTGATGATACTTTATACAATGTTTATGTAGGGGAAGGGACAAGGGTTGCAGTTCATTCGATAGGGATTGTGAACTTAAAGTTAACTTCTGGTTTTGTTTTAAAATTAAAATATGTGCTCTATGTGCCAAAGATGAGAAGAAACTTAATTTCTGCCTCTAAAATTGTCAAAGACGGTTTTGCTTTCTTTGCTGATGATGAGTGTTTGAAAATCTTTAAAAAGAACTATCTGGATTCTGTTTTAGGTACTGCCCTTCTTTTTGACAATCTGTGGAGTTTAGAATGTTCAATAGAGTCAAGTAATCACTCGATTTTGAATGTTGGTTTCAAAAGAATGCTAGGAACTGACACCTCTTATATTCTTTGGCATAAGAGGCTAGGGCACATCTCAAAAGAAAGGATTCTTCAACTTTGCAAAGCTGAACTAATTCCCAAACTAGATTCTGCCACTGTAACAGAATGTGTTGATTGTTTGAAAGGAAAAATGACAAACTTTAGAAAACTAGATGCCAAAAGAAGCAAAGGGTTGCTTGAAATCATACACACTGACATTTGTGGTCCTTTTCCAGTCAAAACCATATGTGGAAACAAGTATTTTGTTAACTTTATCGATGATTTCTCTAGACTGGGATATACTTTTCTGATTAATGAAAAATCTGATGCCCTTAAGTGTTTTATTGTTTACAAAACTGAGGTTGAAAAACAGTTAGGAAAAGTTATTAAAATTGTTAGATCGGATAGGGGAGGAGAATACTTTGGCAGGTACACTGAATCAGGACAACAGAAGGGACCATTTGCAATCTATTTAGAGCAAAACGGCATTGTAGCTCAGTATACAACACCTGGGACACCTCAACAAAATGGAGTCTCAGAACGAAGGAATAGAACTCTCATAGGTATGGTGAGGAGCATGATGTCAAGATCCAAATTGCCTGGTTTCTTATGGGGGGAAGCATTGAAGACAGCAAATTACATTTTGAACAGAGTGCCGAGCAAATCTGTTATCTCAACACCTTTTGAGTTATGGCATGGTAGAACGCCTAACTTTGAATACTTTCACGTTTGGGGTTGCAAATCAGAAGCAAGGTTCTACAATCCAAATGAAAGAAAATTAGATTCAAGGACTCAATCTTGTTACTTCATAGGATATCCTGAAAAGTCAAAAGGCTACAGATTCTATATTCCTCAACATCATACTCAGATCCAAGAAACACACAATGCAGTATTCTTGGAAGATCAAGATGTTACAGATTTATCACGGGAAACTTTCATTTTTGAAGAGGTGGATCCGTTACATGACATCCAAGAAGCCCTCAACTACACCCAGGTCCCTTTATTCAGTCAGCCGTCAAGTAATGAAAGAGAAAGAACACTTGCAGATTTGGATTCTCTCACTGACCAAACTATGGAAATCGATAATCAACTTCCTGCACCTGCAACTGCTTCAAATTCTGAACAACCCGTGTCAATTGAATCCAGAAAGTCTACAAGAGTCAGGAAATCAACTGCTATGAGTGATTATGTTTACTTGCAAAAAGTAGATTTTGACATTGGTGATTTGGATGATCCCATTTCATACTCTCAGGCCATTGAAAGTTCACAGTCAACTCTATGGCAGAATGCTATGAAAGAGGAACTAGATTCAATGTATAAAAATAATGTGTGGACACTTGTGGAATCTAGCCCTTAAATCAAGCCTATAGGTTGTAAGTGGGTGTACAAGACCAAAAGAGATGCTCTTGGTAAAATTGAGAGACACAAAGCAAAATTAGTTGCAAAAGGCTTCACTCAACGAGAAGGTATTGATTACAACGATACTTTTTCCCCAGTTTCTTCTAAAGATTCAATGCGAGTTGTCATGGCATTGGTTGCATATTTTGACTTAGAGCTGCATCAAATGGATGTCAAAACAGCCTTTCTTAATGGCAACTTAGAGGAATGCATCTATATGAAACAGCCACCTGGATTTGTTGAAAGGGGGAAGGAAAACATGGTTTGCCAGCTCAATAAGTCCATCTATGGGTTAAAACAGGCC